GCAAGAGACTCTTTTACTAATTAATTCAGTCCTCACAATAACCCCACGAGGAAGCAGATATTACGATTATCCCCAATTTTCTACATTAGGAAGCTGAGGTGCAGAGAAGTGAATAGATTTACACAAGGCCACACAGCTAGTAAGTCAGGAAGCCACGTTCCAAACTCTGACAGGGTGGCTCAGAGTTCTTGTACTTTACCACTAGGCCAAGTTTCTCTCTCTGAACAACTGCATCTTGATGCAAATTAGTTGAATAAGTGAATTCACTTTCATTCCTAACTCCAAATGCATGGATTTTAATCTTTGCCTCCCTGTGGGTACCAAAAAATGTAGGGCAAGCTAACGTGTCTTTTTCAGTGTGTTAGGACCTGTCAGCGAGCTTCTGTTTGAGCCACTTCCTCCAGAAAGAAAGGGCATTAGAACTAGGGGCCTTTCTTTTCTGAAAAGAAGGACACACTCATGGGCGCATGAGAGTCTGTGCTTATGAGTACTCTCTCTGGTCACCCCCCAGCCTCAAAGCATGGCACAGGGGGAGAGTCTCAGGGCCACACAGTCTCTGAGCAGAGTTCTTATTCTCAGATCTGAGCCCAGGAGACTCGGGTCTCCCAGGAAGCCTGGCTTGCCCCCTCACCATTCTTTCTGGGGCATAAGAACGAGCTTTACCAAGCACTTTGAAATCCCTTGGTGGGGCAAACAGTCATGATTATGAAGTTCCCTGAAGAAAGTTCAGACCATGTGGATGATCCTGAGACCCACTGAAGTGGCCTTGTCTGACCTTGCGCATGAGGTATGAGTGTGGATGCTAGCCAAAGCCGTGGCTGACAGAGATAGATAAGCATAGGACCTCTATTCCCTGTGGCCTGGACATGCTGAGTTTCTTTGCCCAAAGCCTTTGCTGATTTTGTCTGGCTCAATGCCAGGCTCGCCTCTTTCCTTGGCCTCGTGTGCCCATATAGCACAACTGGGTTGGTAAATTAAGAATTTGCCAGATGGAAAGGACTAATTTTTCCCGCTATCAAAATCGTAGGCATGACTGGGTTTTTTTTGCACACATTCCACTGGACACATGCTGCATTCATAATACAGAGCATTGAGACATCATAAAGGTTTTTCACATCTTTCATGTGATAAATATTTTTACCATCATGCTCGAGAAATGGAATTTGTTTGAAAATGGCCTATTTCCTTTGATGGCTTCTTTGACGTGGATTCAAAGCCTTTCTGGGTCCTGCAGGGGCTTGGGTTCGGGAGGGCCGACATGTTAAGTTTTTCGAAGGACAAATCCACTTCCCTTCACTGAAATATAAGCACAGCTGCCAGGACTAGGAGATTCATGGCTGGGGACAATAATGAGAAGATGTCCAGTGAGCCAACAGCTGCTAGAAGTGATGACACAGCCAGCCCTGGGACCTCCAGCGGCCGGGCACCCAGGAACCTGTGAACAGACTGAACCCGGCAATGCCCTGGCCTCTGAGATCCCTCTCTGCTCTAGATTGCACTGAAGGATTCAGATGGGGGTTGTTGAACCAGAGTGGAGCGCCATAATATTTCTTCTTCAAAGTTTGTTTTTACAAGTGTTCTCTTGTCTTTGAAATGACACCTTTTTAACGGTCTTGCTGTATGAGATGAGCAGCCGCTTGGGACTAGAGGAATCTGTTTTCAGGACAGGCTGCTGTGACCTTCTGTAACTCTGTGTGTGTGTGTGTGTGTGTGTGTGTGCGCGCGCGCGCGCCCATCTGTGAGGATACAGCTGATGATAACCAAGCAAACCAGGAACTCTGCCCTCCTCTGGGAGCCTGGTTTAATAGTCCCTGGATTTTATGATTAATGTCCTCTCCCTCCAGACCTGCAGAGCTCCTCGGAGCTTTGTGCTGGCCTGACATATGGGGTGCAGGTGCTTCTCTAGATCTGGATCCAGACACCAGCATCGGTGAGGAGTCTCTGTAGGGGGATTCCCTGGTTCGCCCAAGGTTCAGGCTCTAGGGCTTGGCTGCCTCCGAGGTACTGGAAATCCTTGTTGGTCAAGCCGGTTGCCTTTTCCCAGAGCTACGGGGTGGAATCCTTGTGGGTGTTAGAGGGAGCATTGAGCAGGGAATGAGGGCCTTTGGGGGCTTTGTCTCCTTTCCCAGTCTAAGAATCAACTGCTACAGATCTGTGTGACTTGGAGCAAGTCATTTAACCTCTCTGGACTTTATTTATAAGATACAAGAGTTGAACCGAGGTAGAAGGGTTCCCTTGACCATTCTCCTTCAAAGGGGAAGCCACCAGTCCCTGTGTGAGCCAGAATGTGTGATCTGAAACACCCTAGAATCACTGCATTTTAGGACCTACGCTCATCTTACCACCCCCTGCCCCTCGCATTCACCCAGGAGAAAACTGAGTCCTAAAGAGAAGGGGGGACTTGCCCACTCATGGGGGGCATGAGCCACAGAGCCAGGCTAGAAGGAGGCCTGGGACTTCAGTCACCTCTACCGCCTGGTTTCCAGAGCAGGGCCCCAAGCAGCGGCCTCGGCATCCCCTGGGAATTTGTTAGAAATGCATATTCTCAGGTTCTACCCCAGACCCGCTGAGTCAGCACCTCCAAGGGTGGGGCCCAGAGAGGATCTGTGATTTCACCAGGACTCTGGGTAAGCCTGATGCTCACTAATATTGGGAGCCACTGCATTCCAGCACAGGGCTGCTCCTCGATGACCAGAAGAAAGAGGCTGCCAGGCTGCAGGCTGCTGTGGAGAGCCTGAGACTGGAGAGGAGAGAGTAGAGTGGTATTACAGAGGAGAGGTACACACGGCCCTTCCCGGCTTCTTTCCTGCTGCAGGTTTCCCAAAGCCAGGACTTCTCCTCAAGCCGCCCCAGCACCTCGGAGGTGCGGCTACTGCAGGCGTCCGGTGGGTCAGGCAGCAGACTATTCTAGTGCAAGGCGCCACGTTTCCTCCCTGCCGAGCCCAGCTATTCCCATCGGTACATCCGTGCCGGGGAGAAGCATGCCACTTGAACATCATCAGGGTCGACCAGTTAGTTCATTCCAAGAAATTGATGTGTGGAAACATTGTGTTTTATGTGTGAACAGTGAGGGGTATATTTAGAAGTCCGGGTGCTCAGCTCCAGGCTGTCAGCTCTCAGGGAAAAAAAATGATGGCATGTGCTTCAGAGTTCATTATATCTCCTAGGCAGAATTCTAGGTTTAAAGGGTTGTTTTAAAGTAGCACATAATGGCACCTATAAATCCTGGTTCCTAAGATACACACATTTGTCACTCCTTAAAGTGAGTTTTTCACATGTTCTTTATATGGTTGGCTTGGAGCATAAAGACTCGGACCTTTAATGGAAGCTTTCATTCTGCATAATTTCTAATCACGTCCTCTTGGATTTCCGTGAGTGTGTGTGCACACTGAGCTCTCGCTGCCCCGGCCTGCCGGGCCCTCGCAGTGGAGAGCTCGGCCACACCCGGGCCCAGACTCTGCCCCTGTGCAGGCTCAGCTCCAGAGATGGCATGGGGTCTGTCTGGCTGCGAGAGGTCCGCATACCGTATCTCGAATGGTCTCCCAGATCTGACGAATTCCCATTCCTCACCTGTCACGTCAGCCCAGACAGAAAAAATGGTGCTTCTCCCTAGACCCCCGGCTCATTTTCTAGTTCTTTGCTAGGACTTGCCACCTTCCTGAATCCTAGCCCACCTGTCTGGGGCTACTTTCCCTAACCATTGCCAGCCCCTGCAGGGCATGGGGCCTGATTTCTCTATCCCCAGCCCTGACCAGCATCCTGTTTGCAGGGACTTGAACATCCAGAATCATAACTGTATTTTGTCTTTCTCAGCTGGGGCTGAGTTCGGCTAGGGTTGTGTCCCATGAGGCAGATACCAGCAACTCAGACGAGCTAGAGCGGTGTATCAAAGCCAGCTTCCTGGAGGCGGAGGCTCTTGACCAGCAGACAGACCCTAGCTGACACTTCACCGAGCTTACTGGGTGCCGAGCACTGTTCTGAGGGCTTGACACAGATTTACTCCTACTTTCCTCACTATAATCCTATGAAGTAGGAATTGTTATCGTCATTTACAAGTGAGGAAACCGAGGCTCAAAGCAGTTAAGACTCATCCATCTAGTAGATGGAGGGGCCAGGATCCACAGTCTGTGCTATGGCTACACCAGGGGTTGGCAAACTGCCGCCCACCTGCTGCCTGCTTGTATCAGTCGTTTTTTCTTGGAACACAGCCACACCCACTCATTTACATAGCGTCCATGGCTGTTTTCTCCCTACGTGGCAGAGCTGAGTAGTTGTGACTGAGACACGTGACCCATAGGACTGAAATATTTACTACTGGTCCTTTACAGAAAAAAGTTTGCCACCCCTGCTTTCCATCATACTACCACTCGTGACTCCCATGAAGTTGAAGGCAGATTATCCCGTGCATGGGTCAGTGTGCATTTTCTGGGGCATGGTCACAGGTTTCATCGGATTCTCAGATGAGAACCCCCTCCCCTGTCCCCAGAACAATAGAACTGCAGCTTTAGGGAGTTTTGAAAGCCAGAGTTTTGGGTAGCCAAATGCCAGTTCCTAGGCCAAAGCACAGCAGTGGGAGGCAAGGCCAATGGTCAGGAGCCAGTCAGAGACTGGGATAGTTCAATCAGAGTGAGTGGAAAGGAAACAGGCAGAATGGTGATTGCCACAGTACCCGCTTTGCAACGTCTGCAGCTCTCCTTTGTTGTTCATTAGCTGGGGTGTGAGGGAGGCAGGGCCAAGGTGGCTTCAAGGTCAGGGATGAGGTCCCTGCATGGCTCACGGCCACCTGCTACCCTCATGTGCACCTGCTTCTTTGGAGAACCTGGCTGTCAGTCATGCCCTGATAGCCCTGGTCATATCCCCGCATGCAGTCTCACCGAAGTATCAGGGATGAGAGGACTCTGTAGTGAGAGTGGTACTGGCACATGCTTGGTGCTCAACAAATATTAGTGTCATTTCTTTGCCTCCCTACAGCCCCCGGGGCAAGGTATTAGAATCTTCTTTTTATTGATGGCAAAACCCACAGTGACGGAACTCTTATTGGGGTAGGTAGGCAAAAAAATGACCACCCCCCCCAAAAGGTGTGCACATGTCAATCTCTGGGGTCTGTGAATTTATTACCCTACACGGCAGTGGGGAATTAAAGTTGCAGATGGAATGGAGGTGGTTATCAGCTGACTTCAAAATAGAGAAAGCATCCTAGATGATCCAGGTGGGCCTGAGGTCATCTCAGACTCCTTAGAAGTGGAAGAAGGTATCAGAAGAGAAAGTCAGAGCAATGCCACATGAAGAGGAGACAAGCCACCATTGTTGGCATCCGCCTTGGAGTAAGAGGGCCGTGAGCCACGGAATGTGTGACCTCTAGAAGCTGGAGAGGATTCAAAGATTCAACACTCCAGGGAAATGGATTCTCCCTTAGAACATTCAGAAAGGAAAGCAGCCGTGCCAATGCCTTGATTTTATCTCGGAGAAACCCTGTCAGACTCCCGGGTCTCCAGAACCTCACCTCTGTGGCGAGCTAGCGGTAGATAGCATTGTCCCCATTAAACAGATGAGCAAGCTCGGGTTCAGAAAGGCTCGAGAGCTTGAGCAAGGTCAGCCAGCTGGTCAAGGGCAGAGCTGACTCCAGAGCCCCTGCAGGAAGCCCCCCTGCCTGGTCATGAAGTGTTCAGAAGAAGTCTCGCTTTTTCCCCACAACATCCTTCAGGTGTCAGAGGAAGCTCTCCCACATTTGCCTTTGCCTCGACGAATAAAGTCGTTGCACAGAAGATTTTAATGGTGTCAGACCTGAGACTGTCAGGGCTCCTTTCTTCTGATTAGCTCTGAGGTTTCTCTTGTCAGATTTCACTTCTTTCTCTTAGCAGTTCTGAGGATCCCTGGAAGAGAAAGCCTAATTGTGAGGGCTGCAGGCAAAAGACCTTTAGCTGGAATTCTAATGCACCTCTAGAAGCAGAGAGGGGAAATACCTTATGCAGAATACTTTATTTTCTTATCGTTAGAGCTCTCAGCATATCTAGGGGTATTTATAAGATCCCAAAAATTTCCCCTTGGGAGCGCCAGTAGAGGCAGAGTCTTGCTTTTCCAGGATAAGAAAAAGCACCACGATGATGTGCTAAAGTCCTCCTTTTCCTCCCAAATAAAACCCAAACACTGGGTCCATCTTACAGATGAGAAAAGGGGATCAAGGAGCAGCCGACTTGCCCAGTGTTGGAGGTGAGAACTGGCTGAGGCCTCCTGCCTCTCGGGCTACTGTTTCCCACAAGCTCTCAGCGCCTCACTGTGGCTGGGGCCCTGGGCACAGAGGCTGGCTGTGGGCCTCTGGGCTGGATGCTAGAAGGGGAGGGAAGGGAGACACACATCCTGGGCTGTGGGGACGATACAGCAGAAGGCAAGCTGAAGGCAGCCCGGACTGGCCTGCTATTCGGGGTGACATCCATCCCTGTGTAGTGGAGCGAACCCAGCCTCAGCAGTAGCACTCCGATGGTGGGCCTCCAAGGGACCGGCCTGGGCTGCTCAGGCGGGGCCCCAGCACCAGGCTCTTTAGTAGGAATAATGGTGACTTCTTACCAGCCGGAAGCCAGCAGGCAAGGGTTTACTGAGAGCCGACAAGAAAAATGTACATTTCTGGATATTCAATTAGCCTTTTCTTTTTAGCCCCCAATAAAGCATGCAACAAGGCATCTCAAGCGTAGAAGAAAATTTTTCTAAAAATCATTGAATTGTACATTTGAAATGGGTGAATTTTATGGTATATAAATTGTACCCCAATAAAGCTGTTAAAAAAATTAAATGAGGTAGAAGAAAAGGAAGCATCCTTTAAGAGTTCTTATCTGGGAGATTCGGCAAGGCCGACTCCATTATTTAGTGCTTAGCCTTCAGCCTTCCAAAAGCCAACTTCATGGTGACTCCACACAGCAGCTTGGCAAGCTATTCCCATTCCACAGGAGAGGGCGGAGGATGGAAGGGTCAGGCTGCGGGTCTTGTCCAGAGAGGTGAACAGCTCCCCAGGAGTGGGGAGAGAAGGATCTCCAGAACACTCCAGGAGGAGGACCAGGGGACAGACCTATAGATAAACCTTATACACAGGTTCTAGCGCCCACAGCAGGCAGCTACCTGGGACATGGGCCCACTGGTCTGTCCTGCTTTCTCCCTGCCTCCTCATTACTGGGTTCTGGATCTCAGCACCAAACACCCAGAGCTTTGGCTTTGAGCATGGCCTGAAGGTAGAAGCAGAAATAGCAGTGGCTATAGGACTGGCTGCAGGGCAGAATCTAGGCCCCCCTCCCCACATGCTCTCAAAGCCTGCTCAACTCTGCCAGAAAGAGGAATATATAGTAAACTGAGTAAAACCACAAGCAACAAGAAGGCTCCATCACTTTCCTGCAAAGATACCCCTAAAGGAGCCCAAAGTGAGGCACCAGAAGCAGAGCTGTGGCTTCCAATAAAGACATGGCTCAGTGTAGGCAGCGGGCTGGGGGTCCTAAGTGATGTGAGCTCGGTTCCCGGTGGCTCTGTCTGCCCCTCAGCGGACTTCAACTGGTACTGCCACTCAGCCCTGCAGTGGGAGCTCCAGACCCCTTTGGCCTCCATCAGCCACTGTGCCATGTGACCCCTTCTACTGCTGTTTTAGGATTTATCCTAAAATCCAAGGAGCAGAGGTGGGTCTTGGGTTCTTGCCTAGGGGGAGGTCTGGGCTTTAGTCTCTCCTGCAGCTTCTCAGAGCTTCGGTAAAGTGCACAGCAGGGGCCGGCTAAGGGGCTCAGCTTCAAAAGATGGGGATGGCCAGGAATGCAGTCCTGGAGAAGACAGGCAGTCAGAAGTGGATGGGGGTGGGCAGCAGCACAACGTCTGTTTCACTCCAAAACCCATTTTCTTTCCACTCCATTGTGCGGTCTCGGCACCGCCAAGACCCTGGAGCAAAAGCAGCTGGGCAAGCCCTTGTTCAGGCTGCTCACCCCAGCAGCCGCCCTCACGCAGGTACTCTTCCCGCTTCCAGCATCAGTGGCTTCATGAGCCTCGAAAGCCTTGGTAGAGTCTCCAGATGTGCTCTTCGTGCCTAGCGGGCACGCCAGGGCACAACCCTCAGAGCTGTGGCCTTTGTTGCATTCATTGCTCAAAGCCTCACAAGCCGCTCTCCTGCCCCGCTTCCCTCCTGTCTCCGTGAATTAGCATAGAGGCTGTCAGGACATGCATCTGTAATTCTCTGCTCTCATTAGTGGGCTGCATGTGCGGCACTGTGGGCATATCTCTGAGACCATAATGTGGTGTTTCCCGATGCCCCATGTGATCACGGGTAGAACTTTTGAGAAAACATGTCATGCACAATGAGAACTGGGCATTAACAGGGGGGAAGCAGATGAGCTGAGTGAAAGGTCTCTGGCCTTCTTCTTCACGGGGGGCCTCCTAGGAAGGGTTCAGAGCAAGTGATACTCAAACTATACTTAACCAGCAAGGCACAGGCATGAATGCTGGCCACAGTGTGGGCCAAGGTCCTGGGACTGCTGGCCAGGCCAGGCATGCACCTTGTAGTTGCTGGCCAGTGGAAAGACCTGGAGTATTCCAAGAAGAGAGCCAGAGCAGCTGGGGTAGCCAGGCCACCTGGAGGGGCTCGGGGCAGCAGCTGTTGACTGGCACTGTGGAAGTATCTGGTAGTTGAATGTTGCAGTCAACCAGGACAGACCGGCTGGGTCTGCTCCCGGAGCCGAAGTTTCTGGTCTTCAAGCCAGTACGTGTTGGCTCACAACATGGAGGGAGGCTGGGGATGCGTCTCTGGGCTGTGGTTTCCTCTTATCTGTGATGGGAAGGGTAGATCCTACATCACGGGCCACTGTGATGGCCTAGCCTCACCACCTGGCAGGGCAGGGCAATGGAACGGGGCTACAGGGTACAAGGGATCGGTTCAAGGGCCAAAGGGTTTGCAGTAGACACCCAAGATTGGCCTGCAGTTTCCCTCCTCACTGGACCTCAAATAATGTATTTTGCCACTTGAGACAGTACCTTTGTTGATGGTTAGTATGTTGGACTTCGGCATACTATCTATATACGTGCTTATAGGTTCATAAACTATTTCCAAATGATATGGCCAATCCTGGCATTTCAGACTTGCAGTTTTCAGTATGGATCTTCCAGACATCCTGCTGTCCCAGGCCTCCTGAGACCCCCAGCAGCTCCGGTTCTTCTTCTCTGGTTTCAACTGTGGATAGCCATCTGTCCAGAGGCCTTGAGCCCCACAACTGTGCTCTCTCCTGCTTCTGCCTTTTTGCTCCTGTTTGGCCCCACCCTAGGGGTACCCTTCTCCAGAGTGAGCCTGTGAATCTCACTTACTCTTCATATCTAACTTGAGCATCCTCTCCTCTGGGAAGCCTTCCCTGCATGCAACTCTTCCCTCTTCAGTGACCCAGTGGCATGTTACCCACCCTGGATCCGAGCATTGATCACATTCTCTGTACAACCGGCTTTTCCATTAGACTGGATTTGCTTGAGGGTAGGCACCGAGTCTGAGTGGTCTTTGTATTTCCAATGCCCAGCAATAGACCTGGTGCACAATACACTTGCTTGAGTGTTTGTTGATTGTCTGATAAGAAGAGTTTAACTCCCTTTGGGGCAGAGCTGACGGTGACTCCCAAAGCCCAGCAGTGAGGGAGGTGCAGCCATGGGGAGCCCCTCGGGATAAAGCTGACAGAGCAGCAGTTCCCACATGCTGGCCGAGAAGGGCATTCAAGGGATGAGCAGAAATGGTTGTTCCCTGGGCCAGAGGGGGAGTGCCCACAAAGCAAAAGGCCCGTTCCTCTGAGAGATGTCAAAGAGGAGGAAGAAGTCAGCCTCTTTTCTCAGCGTCAGAAATGTCATTGCTTTGCGCAGACCCATCAAATGTGCCTTTTCTCTTCAAAAGGTGGAGTGATTAGTGACCTCTCAGGGGACTCCTCCCCTTGAGTTTGCCGACAGGGATTTCTGCGGCAAGCACCTTAGAGATCAAGCCAGGGGTGAGCTCAGGAGGAAGGTTGGCAGCCACATGTCTGCGGGAACTTTGGGGAGGAATGGGGACACCTGACCTGACTCTCAGTCTCTCTGAGGCTCTGTGGTTTGGGTCAGATACTCCCTGAAGGCATGTTAGTTTTCTGAAGACTCTGGGTCTTGCCACCTCATTGTCCCCTGCACCTGGGTTTCTGGGACTTTGGAGCCTTCCTGTGGTCTTTTCATTCTGAGTTCCTCCAGGTGAGAGTAGAAAGAGGAAGAGGCAAGAAACACACACAGCCTTTACTCCCTCCTTCCTTTGCTCTCTTCTCCCATGTTTTTTTGGGGTGGTTTCTCTGTGCACAGTCCTGTTCTGGACACTTGGGAGAGATTCCAGGTACTTTTCTGGTGTAAGAGATTTACCAAAAAGTCCTGGGGAGGGGGGTGGGTGTTGTCTACCAACGACCGCATTCCATGGAACTCCCTAAGAAGCTTCTAAAAGCACACTGATAATCTCAAAAGGCTTCGTGTAAGTGAACTAGGTAGGAAATTAACTGCACACAAATGGAATTTGCTCTGCCCTTTACCGGCTTCACATTCTTACTTGCTGACACAGGTCTCCAGGCCCCTTTCAACTCCCTCCGAGGACGTGAGGAATCCCTAACGGATAGGGGGCTATCCTCTCCTGTCTTGCTGCTACTGCTCCATTCATTCATCTTCCTGATATTCATTAAGCACCTGCCAGAACAGGCACTGTTCTAAGCACTGGGGGTTCCTCAGAGAACAGAGCAAATCCCTGACTTCACAGAACTCACGTCTGAGTCAGGAAAGACAACAAGCAAGACAAAAAAAAAAAAAGAAGAAGGACTTCAGTGGGTGCAGAGGGAACAGGGAGATCGAATGCTTAGAAGAGGCTTTGCTGAGAAAATGACTTCTGAGTAAGGAAGTGAGGGGAGCTAGCCATGGGGTGTAGAAGGAAGCGCAAGAGCAAAGGCCCTGAGGTGAGATGTGCCTGGCGAGTCTGGGCCAATGTGGCTGGAGTAGAGAAGGCAAGGGGGCAGTGGGTGGGTGGGTGAGCTCTCAGGGTCTTAATCACCAGGAGCCTTGTAGGGTCTTCTAAGTGTTAGGGACTAAGTGTAAGAACTCGGTCTTTCATGCTGAGGAGACAGTTGGCCATTGGAGGATACTGCCAGTGCAGAGAGGGGCATAGCATGGCAGTGTCTTCCCCCGGCCTGTGGGTCTGCTCAGGTCCTGCCTGGGGCTCCCTGCCTGCGCCTGCCACAGAGCTCATAGTGGCGGAAGGCGGGGGGAGTGCTTCCCTGCCTCTGTGTTACACTGTGCCCGTTGGGCCCTCTGTGTGGCTCTCTGGTGGAATAGCCTTTCAGTGTTCGCTCCTGGCCTGCTGTCCCTAGGACCCAGACAAGCACCCGGGCTGGGTGAGAAATGGGCCAGGATTACAGGGTTTGTGCTGTACTCAGAACCCTCTAAACTCTGGCTCTGCTCCAGGCTGTGTTCACTGTGCTGTGCCCCGCTTAATCTCTGCCATGAGTGAGCTGTCCTTGGGGAGCTCTCAGCTGTCTGGATATATACTTCTTCTGAGTACCCCCTCGGTTGGTCAGGTGCGCTCAAGTAGGTCCAGACCCCAGTAGGAATTGTTATACTCCAGTATAGCCCAAGTCTGCTCCTGACAGGTGCCTCAGCCCAGGGTGACAGACAGCCCTTGGTCTGGCCCATCACCAGATGTGTCCAGATGCCCCTGGACCCTTGTACTTCCCTGGAGCCTCTTTTCCTGTCACACCAACATGTCAAAGATGGTCCTCCTTTGCTGATGACCATGTCAGACTGCTTTCTTACTAGACAGAGACGGGAGTTGTTGGGTGTAGACCCAGTTAAGTGTAGGCCACTTGTCAGTGGACATGGAAACCCCTCCTCTGGGGGCTAGACAGTAGCAACATCTTTCAGAGCTGGGGACCTCAGGGCAAAGCCATTTATCTTCTCCATTTGAACTTAAGAAGTGTCAGAAGGGCACCCTGGTGGGGTTGTGGGTCTCTGTGGTTCCTTAGGAGCTAACATTTATTATGCCAGACCCTGTGCTAAGCTCCTTACATGGAACATCTCATCAAATATGCACACATACTCTATGAAAAGGGTACTAATATTATCAACGACACTTTCTGGTTGGGGAAACAGGTGCACAGTCTAAGCTAGACTAAAGCAGCGAATGGTAGATCTGGAGTGTAAAACCCAGATTCTGACTCCACAACCAGTCCTCTTAACCAGCCCTTTGGATGTTGCATGGAAGGTAGAGCAGGGAGTCATCATGCTCTACCTTCTTAAAGGACCAGATAGTTAAGTATTTTTTATTTTTTAGGCCACATGGGCTCTGTTGCACATACTTGACTCTGCCCTTGTAGCTCTAAAGTAGCTGTAGATAATATGTAAGCATCTGGATGAGGCTGTGTTCCAGTAAAGCCTTATTTACAAAATAGGTGGCAGGCCACATTTGGCCCTCAGACTATCGTTTGCCCTTTGAGGTATAGAGGGAAGAATGTGAGGGTTGGAGGGAGCCAGACCTTTCTCCAATGCCCCCTGACAAAGATTGGTCATTTAACCTTTTCATTTGGTTTCTTCATGTCTAATAACTAACCTCTACGGGGTACTTATCAACTAACTTATTTAAAATGGTTTATGGAGCGCCTTGCAAGAGATGCGTACTGTGATGGGGGCACAGCAGGGAGCAAGACAGATGTTGACCTGCCCACACGCGTGAGCAAGACAGAGATAACTTTGGGTAAGGACATCGGCTGGCATGGTGCTTGGCTCTGGCAATTCAACAGAGAGGACTTCTTGCCAGTGCTGTGCCCCTGCTTGATCATTCAAGACCCACTGCTTTCCAGTTTGTTGTGGTTTATACCCATGCTGAGCAAAAAGACGGGAGCACGTGGTAGAACCTAGGACTTGAGTATGTTTATAATACATTTTTATGCAACACAGGTCTAACTGTGAATCATAGTTTTTTCATTAACTGATCTCATTTTACTTGGTAATATCCATTTAGGTAGGTATGTGAGAGCAGTAAAACTCCATTTCTTTTAAATATTATATGATTCCGTTGGCTCACTGATTTAGATTTTTACTGTCCCCAACATTCCAAATGAACAAGTCATAACATCTTTTTAGAGAGCAAGGACCTTTATGATCACGTAAGCCCTGGGCCTCCCTTCACACATGCCTCGGAGGGGAGAACAAGTGTGCGCTGGGTTCTGGAACTTTGGAACTTTGAGTGGCCACCACATTTCTTGCTTGGTCATAGAAATGCTCACATGGTTTGCATTTTACTCCTTCTTAGGTCCTAATCTGTTTTGTATATCTGAGTTTCCTTCCATCTCTTTAAGGAAAATTGATCTGCCATGTTTATCTATGCAACTCTTGTGTGTCCCAGCCCATTGCCACGTAGAGCTAGTGTGGTGTAGTGGTCAGGACCGCTGCCTTGGGGGACAGACCTCCCGGGACTGACTGTCCCCTACTTCGCTTCCTTATGAGTGAGTCAGGGCAGGTTTCTCATCCTCAGCCTGTGCCTTACTTTCACTACCTGTAACACGGAAACGAAGATAGGTCCCCAGCTCACAGGGCGCGTTGAGTTGATGGGGGAAAACCCTTCACAGCAGAGCCTGACTGGTGGTCAGCACTCAGCGGGGGTTAGCTATGATGGTTCTCCCAGGAGATACACGTACCTCCAGTACGGGGTATGTCCAAGGACATGGTCAGGAGAGGTGAGGTGCCTTCCACAGGTTCACCCAGCGCCTGGGAGCCCCAGCCCTGATGACACGTCTTTGGGCGTCTCTCTCACTGAAGTCTCTGGCATCAGTATGCTTGCTCTGCTTCAGAATCAAGGGCTCTCTAATTTGCAGGGAGCCACAAAAGCCCCCTTCTCTCGAGACAGCCTTCGTGCACCTGCAGGGACAGGGAGGGGCTTCCGCCCCCAGAGCACCCCTTCCATGATAGGAGGATTCTGGGTGTTGGAAGGCCTCCTCCCCTCTCCCAGATTGGTTCTTACGAGAGCCCCCCAAGAGGAGGTGGGAGTAAGAGCTGTGGTCTGCAGTGCTGAGCTCCCCAACCTGGAAGACCCTGGAACCTTAGGGCCTTGCCTGTGTCTTTACCCGGCATAGGTGTGTGTCCTACGCCCATAGGCTTCATGCAGATGGCCGGGTGGTCATTGGCAAGTGTCGCAAGCCTCCCCCTTCTGTCCCTAACCTGGTTCTGCTTCCTCTGGTCTCTGTCTCATTCCAGGCTCCCGGTGCCATCTCTCACTTACATCATGTTATGAGCATGGCGGGTACCATCAAGTGGGCTTGGCATCTCTGTCCAGTTTCTCTGATTTCTGAACTTGACTACCTGTCTCTCAGAATGAATGCCAAAATTCTGACCCATCAGCTTGTGTCCTGGCAAGACCTACCTGTTGCTCCCATAAAAGAGAGATTGAAATGACTCACCAGGAGCCCCTTGCGAGGTGCTAGGCTAGTTACCATGCATTGTGTAATTTTCTGAGACATATGCTGGCCTAAGTGCTGAATACACATTATTTATGTAATCCTCTCAGATCCTGGGCAGTGGGGGGGGGGGGGGGGGGGGGGGGGGTTGGTATTAGTATACCCGCATTAGAAATGGGGGGATCAAGGTGTAGAGAGGTTTAGTGTTTGCTTGTGACCATGTAGCCGGTGAATGGTGGAGCAGGGATTTATCTGAATCCATGTCTGTGTGGAATCCAAAGCTCCTGCTCTTATGGGTAATTATGCCCCCTTCATTTTCTTAGAAAACTCTAGGGAAACCATGAGCTTGTGACCTGGTGTGGGGGCTGCCCCTACCTGCAAATCGACCAGGGGTCCAGTTGTTCAGTGTCCAGAGTGCATGGGTGACCCCTCTGTGCCACTGATTTCCCTATTCTGGTAGGCACAGTCTGGAAGCAGCAGAAGGCAGTCTGGCTGGGGGTCCTTGGAGCCAGGTGAATGGCACTCGGCGGGGCCAGGCCACTCACAGCAGACTAGACAATGGAGAGGGAGGTAGGCCAACAAGAACCCCGGTGAGAGGACCTGGGTATGGAGCAGGCTCAGGACTGGCAGGGAGTGGGGGTGCAATCTTGGGAAAGAGAAGCAGAAGCCCAGTTTGAGGGCTAGGGCTAGCATCTCTGGTGGGGAAAGGAGGGAGTTCTGACTTGAAGCCATGGGGCATAAGGATCATATCTATCGGCCTCTCGGTACACCCTATAGGGTATATTTCTATATCCCTTGTGCCTAGTGGTTGTGGATGAATGGATGGATGAAGGGATGATGAGTGAATGGATGAATGAATGGATGGATGGATGGATAAATGAGTTTGAGGAAGCATAAGGATTATAGTCTATTCTCCCCGCAAATCTGGGGAGACCCAAATATGGGGATAAGATTGTTTTACCCAAGGTGGTGGTGAGGAAGGGAAAGGGGTTGTCATATGGCATTTGTAGGGGTGCGCTCTGACCCGCTGTCTCCTTGTCTCTTCTTTCTCCAGAGGCTCCCGCCAAGCCTGAGGAGGCAGAGGCTGAGCCCTTCACAGACTCCTCTCTGTTTGCACACTGGGGCCAGGAGCTCAGCCCTGAAGGCCGGCGCATAGCCCTGAAGCAGTTCCAGTACTACGGCTACAACGCCTACCTCAGTGACCGCCTGCCCCTCGACCGGCCCTTGCCTGACCTCAGACCTAGTGGGTGAGCAGAGTCAGTGGCTGGGCCCTTCTCGACCTGCCTGTGGGGAGATGGGGTCACCACGGTGCTGGTAACAGAGTCAGGACAGGGCATTCGAACTCTGGGTCCCTCTCCTGCTTCAGCCAGGGCTTGTGCCCTCAGCCTTCAGGGGGCAAGTCCCTCTCCTCCTCCTCCTCCCAGAGCCTCAGTTTCTCCATCTGCCAAGCAGGGGGAAGGCTTCTTCCATGAGAGATGTTTAGGATTAATAGCATAATTTATTCCTCACGGGCTCTAGAATCATCTGGTATTCCTGTTAATAAGTCTTTTTAACCCAATTAGTTGCATTTTTATGAACAATTATTTTTATTCTATAAATTAGTATTTAAAGTATATCCATCTTCCAGGGCTAACAAGTCATTACACCTGACACAGGAGTCTGTCTTGACTTCTCTCTTTGTTACAGAAGATGTTCCCTTAAGGTTCAGTTAGAATTTTTGTTACTCCTAATTATTAAAAGTGTGGACATGTACCACAGCTGAGAAAATCTCATTAACTTTTGTGAGTTCCCCCCATAACTTCTTTCCCCCTCTTTCTCCTTATTTTTAAATTTTTCTTAAAGCTGCAAACTACAGTGAGCTTATATCTAAAGGAAAGATACAAATATCTTTTTCAGGAAAGATCTTGCTGCTGGGTTTGGAGGCTATGTTCTTTTAGGGAGAAAAGTTCAGTTCAGTTCCATAGACATTTGTTGAGCACCTGCTGTATACTGTATAGTTGAGTATGGTTTTCCCTGGCCCAAGGAGAACTTGGCTGGACCCTAGGGATGAAAGAGCAGCTGAGGATCTACAAGAGCTAGAAGAGTATATATTCATTTAAAGGATATTTGCTGAGCATTTATATATGCCAGCATAGTCTAGGCACAGGGATAGAGCAGTGAACAAAACAGACAGGAATCCTTGCCCTCACAGAGCTTACATTCTAGATGGGCAGGGACACATAATAAACAAAACAAAAAAGTCAAATATGTAGCATGTTAGATGGTAGTAAATGCTGTGAAAAGACAGAAAGTTGGAGAGGGGAATAGGGACTTCCCAGAACAGGAGGAGGGGTTGGGTTTTTAGTGAGGTGGTCAGAAAAGGCCTCACGAAGAAGGTGACATTTGCGCAAACGTCCAGAAGAGATGAGAAAGCGAGCCATGTGGATACCTGGGGGGAAACTTTCTAGTTAGAGGAACCAGCAGGTACAAAGGTCCTGAGGTAGAAGTGTGCTTGGCATGTTTGAAAAAGGAGGCCCATGCAGCTGGAAGAGAGCAAGCAAGAAGGCGGTAGTCGGAGACGAGGTCACAGGGGCCACGGGAAGCAGATCAAGTAGGCCAGTGGTTCTCAAACTTGGCTGCACATTCAACTCATAGGGAGCTTTAGAACAATCTTGATGCCACGGCCACACCCTAGACCAATTAGGTAGGAGTTTCCAGAGGTGGCCCTCTGTATCCGTATTGTTTAGAGCTCTCGGGTGATTCCAGTGTGCAGCCCAGGTTGAGACTCGCAGGCAAGGGGCTTTGGGGCTTTGCAGGCTGCCGCACGGGGCGTGGCTTGTACTCTGTGAGGTGGGGATCCAAGGGAAGCGCTCGAGCAGACTGGTAATATGCTCTGATTGTCATTTTCAAAGGCCCCTGTGGCTGCCGTGTTCAGAACAGACTGAAAGAGCCTGGGAGGGAGCAGGGAGACCGGTTAGGAGGCTTCTGCCTATCCCAGTGAGAGGTGCTGGTAGCTTGGGCCGTGACGGCAGTGGGCAGGTGTTGGGATGGGGTTGGCTTCTGGGGGTATCCCTAAGGGGACTTTATCTCAACGCCACAGGGTCTCAGCCCCCCGGGAGTGCTGCAGAGACCATGCCTGGGCCTGCAGAGAAGCAGGTCTGATGTGGGCAGAACCTAGAGGCTCCAGGAAAAGGGTCCTCAAGAGGAGTTGGGGCCCCAGGACTCCTGCAGGGGCCTTCGCCTTGATCTTGGCCCACACAGGAGCTGCAGACTTTGCAGCCGGCTCCGACGTAAAGCTTAGGCCTTGCTCAATGCACGTTTGTTCCAAATTAGAGGGGAACTGAGAAGGAAGCTATGGAAACGGTGGATCTTACAGACTGCGGCATGACGGTAACAATGACTGGCATTTACACAGGGCTTGACGTGTTGGGAATGCCCTTCCCACCTGGACCACACCAAGCTGCGCCAGAGGTAGGGAAGGAACTGGCACATTCTCCCCCTTCAGAGTTAAGGAAACTGAGGAACAGAAAGAATAAGTGTTATGTCTGAGATCACACAGCTGGATAAGTAGCTGAGCTGAGACTCAGCCCCATGTGTCCAGATGCCAAATCCTGGCCTTTGATGGTAGCCCACGGCTGTGTTGTTAGGAGCCAACTGACACCGGAGCCCCTTACCCCTTCATCGAGAGATGTGCCCTGTTGCTATTCCTTCCTACTTCCATGGGAGAGAAACAGAAAGGCGAAGGGTGGAAGGGAACTGAGGCCATGCGGCCTTTCTCAGAAGGGCAGGCCCCCCTTGCAGGCGTGCTCTAGAGGCAGCACGTTTCAGGGGGCAGTCCAGCCTGGGCTTCCTGAGTTTGCGGAGAAAGGATCTCTGAAGGACTCCAGGTGGGCCGAATTCTGAGCAATAATCGCAACGGAAAGACCTTCCCTCTGCACAAAGCTACAGTCTATGGAGCTTCCATGCCTCCTCTGTGGGGCAAGGTGCCTTTTCATGGAAGGAAAAACGGAATCTCTGATACAAGACAGAGCTGAGCCTTCTCCGTGAGCCTCCACCAGTGTCCTCTGCAGGGGCTTTAAGGATGCGGTTTCTCTCTGCACACGTACTTGGAAAGCTCTGTCTAGCTCCGCTTCAGATCCTGTGCCAGACGCACAACCAAGACCGGAGAGCTGTTGGTGAACCACTCAAAACAAGGGTGTGCTTAGCTGAAACAGGGCCTCTCTTTGTCTGTTAATTTCCCTAAAAACATTCCTGCCTTGTAACAAGGTCATTGCTGCTTAGCTTATCCTGTTTAACTCATTTTGGAAACATTTTTTCAAAGTCTTTACTATCATCCCATTCCAAATTACACTGGCAAACATTTCTATGGCATGAGCCACGTTTGCAGGGATGCATTTGGCACTTTATTTCCGTTAACTCTTGGACTCCTCGCAGTAACCTTCTGGAGTAGAGACTTGTCTGGGAAACCCACCCTGTTCTTGATTCTCCTACTCACAATCCTTCTGACACCAGCTGTGTGGGGGTTTTCCATGCCAGCCAATTCTGTGACACTAGCTGGGTGCCCTACAGTTCAATTCAGTTGTAGCTCTATCTACCAGCAGTTAGCATCAGTCCCACCGGCTACAGGCTCAGTCCCGTGACACCGCCCCCACTCGGTTGTCGTCACCTGTGCTTCTGACCCGCTATAAGTAAGGTCCCCACCGCCTGTCCTGGAGTTCAGTAATTTGCTAGCACTGGTACAGAACTCAGGGAAATGCTTACACTTAGCAGTGGATTATGAGAGATGTAAGACAGGATACAGATGAACAGTCTGATGAGGAGATATATAGGGTGAGGGCCTGGGAGGGTCCCAGGCACAGGAGCTTCTGTCCCCATGGACCTGGGGTAGATCACCCTCCTGGTATGCGCAGATGTGTTCAGCAACCTCGAAGCTCTCTGAACCCCATACTTTCGGGGTCTCTATGGAGGCTTCATCATGTAGGCACGATGGATTATTAACTCACTTTCCAGGCCCTCTCCTCTGTTCCAAACTTCTAATCATAGCTTGGTCTTTCTGGTGACCAGCCCGCATCCAGGGCCCACCAAGAATCACCTCATTAGATCAACAGATGCTCCCATCACCCAGGAAATTCCAAGGCACTTAGGAGCTCTGTGTCAGACACTCCTGTCACTCAGGGAATGACAAGGGTTTTAGGATCTCCGTGTCAGGAACTGGGGTCAAAGACCAAATATGAGTAGAAACCAGGGGCAGAGATCAATAGATATATTTCTTATTATTTGACAGTATTATTATTCGTTCCCATTTTACCAAAGAGGAAACTGAGGCGCGGAATGACTGTAACATCTGTTCAAGGCTGCTAGTGGCAGAGCTGGCTGGGGTTTGAACCCAGGTAGTCGGGCAACAGAATTTGTGTTTGTAACTGCCACCACGCTTACTGCCTTGACGTGTCAATTTGTGACACTCTAATGGGGATGGGGACTGCTTGAACAGTATGTAGCACTGGGCCCATCAGTTCGTCTGAGTCCGGAAAGTTTTCTCTAAGTGCTGGAAAAACTGTTTTGCTGAACATAAAACCCATTATCGAGGCAGAGAATGAGGCCTTTGCTACAGGTAATGTTGGGATATGAGGCAAGGCGGGTGGGGGTGGGTGGCATCTGGAGAGGAAGCACCATGCTGAGGAAAGTCTCCGGATGTATCTGGCCAGGTGGATCTTGCTTCATTCTCGGTGTCCTTGGGGACTTCTGTCCCTGGAGGTGTCCTTGGATTTTGCACTTTGCTCTTTGTATTCTTGGGTTTGCTCTTCCAAGTTCTAACCCTGACACTATGCTTGGCTTCATTCCTGGACTGGAATGTGGGTGATCCAAATCCTGCCCCACCCTCTCTTCCGTCATTTCTGGCTGGTCCTTTCTTGGTGCTGAAAAATGCGATCTGACCCACTTTTGTCATCTGGCTGAAAGGACCATTCTATACTCAGGGCCTTATACACAGCAGAAGACATAATGAGAAGGAAAAAAGTCCATCCAGCTGGTTGCTAGGCTTTATTAATTTATTCATCCCACAAACATGTATTGAGCTCCAAGTATGTGCCAGGCACCCAGTAAAGCACCAGACAGAAAAACCTCGAGGAGCTTACACCGTAGCAGGAATCTAGGTGGAAGGTAGTGGGAGAGCAGGGCAGGGGATCCCAAAGCTTGCTGACCATCTCCTGGTCTCCTGGCAGAGGGGCCATTCTTGCAGGTTAGGAGTAAGTCAGGGGCTGGACTTGGA